TTTTTTTTTTTTTTTTTTTTTTTTTTTGGGAATGACTCGTTTTTCAATCCTCAAGTCGACTCATTTCCGATTCTCAAGTTTCCCTGGGCGGTGAACATGCCATTTATCAACTCCTCGTGATTTAATTGTTAAAACACCACCAGTACTCCGCCCAGCTATGGTATGCTTGGTGCATGCAATCAGCGATGGTACGAACACAACGTAGCAAAAACCACAGCGAACAAGGACAGAATGACAGATAAAGAAGAAGACAGACAAAGGAAGACAAGCCCAGTAGAAGATGTCCCCGAACGCGACTTGCATTTCAAAAAATAGTCAATGAGCACAAAGGCAGAAGTCAAACTTCCGCATGGCGAAGGACACTACCGGTTTCACCTGGCCGCCTACCAGGATCATCAGGGGTCTGAAGTCGGTAGGTAGGACATCCAAACTACTGCCTGTATACTCAAGTACATAGTCGACCGGAGACGATTAAAGCCACGTAAGCAAACCAACGATAGGCCAAGTAATATATCAAGAAAAAACTATCTAGAACTATTGTCAAAAGGCACCGTATCAGAGAGGCAAGTCCAAAAAACGCTAGTGAGTGTACTTCCTCAAATCGACCTCAGTTCAAAAGTCCTAAGTAGCGAAAAAACTACGTCACTTATCAAGAGCAGACCACAGATCGAAACCGGCCTAAAAAACGGTCACAATCGAAACAACGAGTCGTCAACTTCCAAGTCCTGCCATGACGACCACAGATCAAAAGCATTCAACAGCAGCCAACTTCGAAACGTCAGACACCAGGCCCAAACACCCCGTCAGAGCCCCAATCAGAGAACAACCAGGCCACGCTACAGGCCGTCACACATACCAAAAAGCCTCAGGCGCGCAGCGTCAGAAAGGAAAGACAACAAGCTTTGAAAAAACACAAGTCCTAAGTAGCAAAGACCCCCGACAATCCATCAACAAAAACATCAAACCCGCTACAGGCGAGGGTCATTCAGACGACCCTGTCCCGAGATTCACCCAGGAAGCGGCACCACTTCGTCAATACCAGTAGCCAATCCTTCCAGAATCAGGCGTACTTGTTGGAAAAGTTCATCAGCGCATCATCAAAGGAGGAGTCGGGATACCCCCATCTGCAGCTATCGGCCGTGGAAAAAAAAAAAAAAAAGAGTAGAAACGTTTATGTCGGATGAATTTGGGCTCTCACCACCAGTACTCGGCCCAGCTATAGAAAAGTTTCTAGTCGGATGAATTTGGGCTCTCCTGTAGTGGCCCGTACGTTTCCTAAAATTGTAAAATTGTGGCTTGTTAACGGGCATGGCTTTAGCAAGTACTGGTGGTTAAACAACTGGCGATCTAATAGTTAGCGAGTGATAGCAACTCGTGATCTAATAATAATAATAATAATAATAAATTATTAACAATCAACTTGTGATCGAATAAGAATTGAAAACACATGTAACATATTTGCAAGAATAGCAATCTTTAGGTGCTACAGAAAAGAAAGCTGTGGCAAAAGTACGAGAATGCGCATATTCATCAGGTGCGGAAATGTATGACAAGGAACTGCAGTCATTGTCCATAGGAAAAACGTATAGCAATAAATAAATTTGATAAAATTCCCATGAAAATACCACTTGTGATCTAATAATAACCAACTCGTGGTTTAATAACTAATCACTTTATCCCATACTTGCGGCGCATCGACGTGCGCTGCACCGTGCACACGCGCCGCACTGCGCACAGCGCACGACGCGCGCGCACAGGGTGCGGCGCACCCCGAAAATGAGGGGTCGAGAAGAAAAAAAAAAGTTGGGGAGGGGTGTTTTAGATGCGAGTGGGATGTCGCGTCATAAACCACAAAAAAATATTAACAAAATTTTGAGGCTGCGCGGGGCCTCTGAGAAAAAAAAGGGGGGAAGTTCGTATTTTTTTGTTTGTGTGTGTGTGTGTGAGAGAGAGAGAGAGAGAGAGAGAGAGAGAGAGAGAGATGGTGGGAAGAGGGAGAGAAGTAGCGATGGTGGATGGCGGAAGGCGGGAGAAAGGCCGAAGGTGGGATGGTGGGAAGCGGCGGAAGAAGTCGGGAGGGGAGAGAGAGANCGGGAGGGGAGAGAGAGAGAGAGAGAGAGAGAGAACAAAATCAAATGAATCTACCACTAGAACATGGAAATATACATTGCGCGCAGCACACCAGACGTGCGCAGCGCAGCGCGCACTGCGCACCCTGGGTCTGCGCACAGCGCACAGTGCCGGTGCGCCGCGAGTATGGTTTATCCTGATCTAAATATAAAAAAAAAACGCGTGATCTAATAATAGTCGACTCGTCCTTTGGGACATGACATCCGTTTAACTTGGAACGATGCAGAGGAGATTATAACGTGGACCCTGCACAAGGATGACATGCATAGATCAAGAGATGTGTATAAAATAATAATAGTAATAAAAGTTATAAAACCAAGGCTACCAGAGTGGCCCGGGGTCACTTGCCCGGCCGGGCCAAAAAAAAGAAAAAAAGTTAAAAAAACAAAAGAAAATAAAAGTATTAGAAGATTTTTTTTTTTTTTTAATTTGGGAAAGAATTTCGAAGTGAGCCTGAGGCAAAAATTGTTCAGTTCACTTTTCTGCATAAGATAGCTGGCCACCCAGGGGCCAGGGCCGACTAGCGCCGTTTTAAACCGTGTCCGTATGGTTTTCTATCACGGGTGACAGATTTAGATGGCTACAGGCCATCGATGGAAGGGAAATCATGCGGAGTTCCGAATTTTGCAGAGATTCGAAAGGGAAAAGTTTTGCCTGTGTACCCTACGCACTTTCATGATTTCTTCTTTTTCTTTAAATTCAAAATCACTGTAGCAGCGATGCGTTTTCACAGCTTTCTGAGGGGGGGGGGCGAAAACGCATCCCTGCTACTACAGTACTTCACGTCTTGAGAAGAGAAAAACGAAGTGGTGTGTACGAAGTACTGGACGCAGCCCATTGGCCGAGTCCAGCATGCCTCCAGAAAAAGAGGCGATGAATTCGACGGCTCCCATCCCATTGGCTGACGGGAGCACCCTAAGCTGAATTTTGCTTTCTTTATCTAGAAGAAAGAGAGTTTTTTTAATCTGAAAAAAATGCAGAAACCATTTTTTTAATGCCAAAAGCGGGTCACGCAGCACTGTCTCACGTTTAAAACGAGTGCTAGTCGGCCCAGGCCCCAGGACCCGGACGGCGTGGCTGGTAGCCTACAATAAAAAACAATAATATATAATAGTAAAATAATAAATCATAAATCAGAATAATAAATAATAATATTAGTTATATAATAATAATTATTAATTTAATCAATACTAATAATAGTAATAATAAAAATAATAATAATAAAATAAATTAAATAATAATGATAATAGTCAACTGGGATGTAGAGTCTAGACTGATGTCGCTTCTTTGAAACATGAGCACCGCTTACCTGCTTGAAGACAAGTTTCAATTTCCCTTTTTTTTTCTTTTTTATGTTGGTCGCCTTTTGTTTTCTTTGGAAAGAATAGAGTTCAGAACTTTCCAAAAAAAAAAAAAAAAAAAAAAAACTTCACACAGATATACGTGGACAATTCTGCCACTTCCTGCGGCCCGTGCACATGTACTAAATATAGCCACTGAAAAGGATGCCCAATGTCTGTCTGATCTCGATGGATGGAGTGTCCCGCATGGGTGTGGATGGTCTGACCTCTACCTGTGGTTCCATCTATATACGGGACCGCAGGTGGAGGCCAGACCATCCACACCCATTTGGTCTGGCCTCCACCTGATGGTTTGACCTCCACCTGTGGTTCCCCCCACCTCCGCATCTCTCCCCTCCCGCTCCTGGAAGTTTTTCTTTCGTATCCCTTTGATGGTTTGGAGTGTTCCTTCTGATGCTTCAACATATCGCATACCCAAAGAAACGTCTTTCTTTGCCGCCTCTTTTATATCACAGGAAAATCACAGGAAGTTGATGTTCTCCTCGTCTTTTCTTGAGCATTCCTTCTAGCGCTTCATGGGATTAAATGCAGTCTGCTTTTTTTTTTTTTTTTTTTGTAATGGGATTTAAAAAAAAATTAAATGCAGTCTGCTGTCTGATCGTCTTCATGCTCCTGACAAGGTCAGAACATGTGTCTGTATCTGTGTCCTGTGTTGCCTCTAGGCTCTTGCTTGGGAGTGTGAGCGACTACTGCGTCAATCACTGCCCCTGCCCGGTTGTTGTCGTCCGGAAGAAATCCTACTGTGACGGGCCGTCCACGGCCCCGACAACGAGAAGGGATGCATCAGCTGGAGCAACCAGTCAGCAGGCTGAAGAATGCTGCCCGTGAAAGTGAGAGAAGGCGGGGGGGGGGGCGGGCGCGGAGGAGCAGCAGCAGAAGCGTATTGCATATGGATAGTGTCTATTTCTGCGAATACCCTCGTTGAGAAGAGCAACTTCATGGTTTGTCCAGATTTGTGTTTCGAACACCCAACTTCAGAAGTGCTGAGTCTTCAGCAAAGCAATATTGTCTGTGTTTTGTGTAGAGGAAATCTCGTCTCCTCCCCCCTCCCCCCCCCTCCCCCCCCCGCCTTCCCTTTCATCTCCTTCTTCCACCCGGACTGTGTGCTACTTGTCCCGTTCCACCTCACCCCAATCTCCAGTTACCTGGGACTTGGGAACCCACCCACCCACCCACCCACCTGCATGAGCCACACGCAAGTAGCTAACAACTTCATGCTTTATTTTTATTATTTTATCCCTATTTCGTCCTCAAAGGTAGAGAGTAGAGGTAAAAAGGTTTGCAAATGTGGTGATTTTTTTTTTTTGTTTTTTTTTTTTTTGTTTTGTTTTTTTTCTGGTTTCCCCCCCCTCATGCAGAGGAAAGAGAGCAATGGTTGGAGGGAGAGATAGACTCCTTTGACTTGTGTAAATTGCAGCGGTGCTGCTGTACATTTTTCGCCTGAACATTTGCGATAAAACCCCGGAGGGGGGGGGGAGAATCTGGTTTGCAGCTTTGGTCTTGTTTGTGAAGGCATACACAAACTACCGACTTTTAGGATGTACTTGACTGCGAATGCGGTCAGGAGCATCTACTGCGTGAGTACATCCAAAGTGTTGAGTATGCTCGGGAGTGTCCGAAGTGCAAGTATGTTCGAAGTAGGTGGAGTGTGTTTGAGGATTGTTGTCTTCTGTTGCAGCAATGGACGCGGCACGACCGTTTTGGGTGTCGATCTGTTGCCTTCTCAAATTAAATCTCGCTTTTGAGGGTGTTGTGTTCGCCCTTTTTTTTCTGGTTATATATATATACGATATATATATATTGTGACGATAAACTCCGACGAAACAGTTTGTCACAGCCCCTCATTTGTTGTCCTCTTCTCCCTCTCTGCCTACGGTTTACCGGGCAGTTCTATTTGACGATATATACTACGACTTCGCTAGCTTCCTGCTACGGTTTTCTCCGGTCAGGT